TCGTGAGTTTTTCATCTCGTCCAAGATTGTCGCGTGGTTTCTGCGGTGTGATGAGTATCGTGTGTGGTGTGGCGTCGACTATCGGTCTCTATATGTGGTTCGGAGTCAAGCTGCAGCTGATTATTATGGAGGTCGTTCCTTTCCTGTCGCTGGCAATCGGTGTTGACAACATCTTCTTGCTGATCCACGCTATGACTGAAAAGGAGGATCAAATGCGTCGTGAACAGCCCAGTCTCTTTGTTGGTCTCGAGCACAACCCGAAGGCGATCGAGGAGATCACCACGACGATCGTGTCCGAGAGTCTGGCGTACATTGGCCCCAGTATTTTCATGGCGTCTGCAGCGGAATCAGTGGCGTTTGCCTTCGGTTCCATCTCGGCGATGCCTGTGGTGCTCTGGTTCGCAGCTATGGCCTGTTGCGCCGTGGCGATTAACTTCTGCTTCCAGATGACCTTGTTCCTGTCTGTTCTCACTCTGGACAAACGTCGTGAGCTGAGTGGCAAGTATGACATCATATTCAAGCGTGCCTCGTACGTAAAGGCTCAGGCTCGTGCCGCTGGCCCGCAGACCCAGCAAACAGCAGAGCCCCTGGTGTCATTGGAGCCCAAGACGCCTGCACCCGAAGATGCTCGTCGTTCTATGACACCGGAGAACCGCACATTGACGGATGTTCTCGACCACTGCGTGGATGTGTACGCGTCGTTCTTGACCTACAAACTCGTGAAGCTGCTCGTGCTATTGGTCTTCCTTGGATGGACACTGTGGTCCATCTATTCGATGGAGTCGCTGGACCAGGGTCTTCCCCAGAAGGAAGCGATGCCATCGGACTCGTACATGATTGACTACTTCAATGCGCTGGACGTGTATCTGGCAACTGGTGTGCCGGTGTACTTCATTGTTGAAACAGGCTACGGACGCAACCCGGAGACGTGGTCGCTGAACGATGAGAGTGTGGAGACGATCTTCTGTAAGTCGAAGGATATCTGTGGTACCTACTCGATCCCGAACATCATGAACGCGCTGGCCAACCATGGCGACAAGACTGTCACTCACATCAGTCCGGGTACGACTTATTCGTGGATGGACGACTACTGGGGCTTCGTGAACCCTGACAGTGAGTGCTGTCGTGTGGATTCCGAGGGTGCGTACGTTCCGATCGAGAGCGGCAACGATACGTACACAACTCTGCGCGCGGAAGCCGACACGTGTTTGGCTACGTCGGTGACCGTACCGCCGGTACCGCAGGCTCAGTACATGTCGCTCTTCAGTATGTTCGCTACTGCTAGTGCCGGCACGTCGTGCTCGTACGGTGGTGGTTCCATCTACCGTGGCCAGTTTAGTATTGACGATGAGCCAATTCCGACTGTGAACGCTTCGACGCCTGCGGTGAAGATCAACAGCAGCGGTTACGGTGACGAGATCACGGCTTGGTCGTACATGGTGACGGGCACGTCCAATCCGACGCAGCAGCGCTACATCGACTCGTACAAACAGAATCTAGCGGCGGCCGAGTGGATCAGCGAGAAGACAGGTGTGGATATCTGGGTCTACTCGCTGACGTACGTGTACTTCGAGCAGTATCTGACTGTGATAAAAGACGCCTACCGGCTCATCGGGCTCGCACTGGCTGCTATCTTCGTGATCACGACGCTGTATCTGGGCAACGTCTTTTACTCGCTGACGATCGCATTGATGGCGACAAACCTCGTGGTGCAGGTGTTGGGTCTGATGCAGCCTCTGGACATCATGCTCAACGGTCTGTCGATTGTGAACCTCATCATCGCTGCCGGAATTGCAGTGGAATTCTGCGGTCACTACGTCCGATTTTTCGCCAAGGCGCAAGGCACAGGTGACGAGCGCGCTCGCGATGCCCTTCGTCAAGTATTCACATCAGTGATTTTCGGTATCACCATCACCAAGATCATCGGTCTCAGCGTTTTGACTCTTGCCGACTCGCGCGTGTTCAAGAAGTACTACTTCCGCATGTACATGTTGGTGGTGCTCTGTGGTGTGCTCAACGGCATGCTACTACTGCCTGTGCTACTCAGCACCACCACCGACGTCAAGAACTTTTTCCTTCGCCGGGACTCGCAGAAGACGGAGTTGCGCTCAGCACCTGTAACACGAGTCGATTAAAAGGAGGAGGTCCAAGCTGCTAGCGCTCATGAATTCGTGCCCAAGACAAACAAATATGAGGGCAGAGGAGACAGAGAAGCCTGAGTGTGAGTATTAGCGTAATATTATAACTAGTCGTTAAGTAAATAAATGGGGAAGTTCTTTGGAGAATCATTGGTCTTCACAAGAACTTACGCAGTTTTATTCTTGCTTATCCGGAGACTTGTTCCTCTACTTGGCGCTGGTGACAAGGTGTAGTTCAGGAAATTCGGCAGCACGGGCATCAAAATTGCCGGCCAAGAAGGCGGCTGACAACTGGCCGATAGCCTGGAGAGCGTAGAAGTGATCAATCTTGCCGGCAGACTTGAGGAGTCGGTTAATTGTCGGCGAAAACACGGGAATGTCCGAGAAATTGCTGTGTCGCGTGTCACGCAACCACGTGAGGCGTGACTGTGCATGAGTACATCCACGCGCATGACGCTCGGTGCTCTCAGCATTGGGACGCCAGTGAAGAAAGTGTTCCGACATCAAATGCAGCGCAGGGACACGCGGACCCAATCCGTCACGCACGGCATGGTCCAGCGGCTCCATCCATGCGTCCAGTAGCACCATCTTCTTGAAACGCGCGTCTTGGTGTGCAGCACTGAGCGCTGTAGCGGCCCCAAACGAGTGTCCGGCAACACTCACGCTGGTAAGATCGCAGCGACTGAAGACGCTGTCTACTGTAGCTTCTTGCTTGATCGCATCCAGTACTGCACGTACTTCACTAACGCGCTGCTGCAGTTGCCCGTTGCGGAAGCGAAAACCTGCTCCATTAATGTCGTCTCGAACTTCTGGTGTGATCTGCTGGTAGTACTCAACGCGGCCAGGCTCCGGACTGCACACGCAAGCCGATCCGTCGCAGTGGTTAAGCACCACGACCACGTTTCCATGGCTCGCGAGCTCCTGGTTCACGTACGAGTAGAGCTCGAGTGACCCAGCTAGTCCGTGACTAAAGACAACCAGTGGCCAGCCGATCGAAGCGGCTGGAGACGACGCCACCGGAGCGTCTTGTAAAGCTGCGAGATGCGCGTTGCTCATGTTGTGGAAGAGCCAAGCCGGCTTCTTGGAGAAAACGCCAAGTCCCTTCATGAGGTGGCGACCATGGTGTAAATACGGCACCAAGTGGCTGGTCTTCTTAGTATCAGACCGCGGGATGTCCGTTGACGGGTAGAAGACGCGGCATTCGACGCCACCGAGGCGCCTCGAGCGACAGCCGATGCCCTGATAGGGACCATGTAGCTGGGAGAAGTCTGGCCAGGGGAAGAGCAGCGATGAGGCCCAAGCCAGAGCCACAGAGATGAAGCCGAAGGCGTCAAATGCGGGATGTAACGGCCAGACGGAGGTGGTAGCAGGCGTAGTTCTTGGGAACAGCACTGGACAGAGGACCCACACACAGAGCGACGAGTAAAGCGGCGAGAGCTCGCGTCGTGGGGAATGCAGAACCAGCAGCAAAGAGACAATGCACCAACCAGCGATGGAAATAGTGCCGCCAGTCGTGGTTGAGATGAACGCGATGGCCAGTTGGCATGTGCACGCGCCCAGCAAAAGACGCTCCAGGGCCTGTCGATGCATATCAGAGTTTTCGGACTCAGAGGTGCTTACTTATAATACTACAGTCAGGGATTAATAGCATCTCCAAATATTTCTTTTTAGTATTACTAATACAAATACTTTTACTACTATTACTACCGTGCTATATGGTATTCACTTTGAGTATCGCTCAAGGCACGACTTTAAAGTACTACTATTTCAGGACTCACATTCTGCAATTTTACAGCGGTTGGCTCTCGCACGCTTGGAGACGGTCGCCATTCTTCGATTTGCGTTGGTTAATGCACTAAGAGTAGATCGCCAGCGTCATCGGAGTCGACTAAGTATGGGCTGTGCGGTCTGTAACGGGGTACAATCCAGTGTGCCCCATGTTACATAAAGAGTGACCCGTCACTCTTGTGGACACCTGGTACACGGTACCAGGTGCTCTCGGAACCAGTCAGGGCATGACTACTTAGCTCCACTATAGGTAACCTCTACTTTGTATGAGACCCAAGCTTATCTTACTTATAAATACATCAGTCTTAAATCTACTCCTCTAAGTAGCAAACCGTTCCCACTGAGGCCGGGAACACGTGGACTTACGCTCACTCGGGTAATTAATACCCTTAAGCACTTCCTCTGTGCAAGGTGCTGTGTGACCCCGTCACACTTGGTAGCACTCGTAGTCAATCCAACACCATCGCGGTTAGATTGAGCTACCTGAATCCTCTGTGCGCTCAACGTTTGAGCCAAGATGGACCGAAGCGAGTTTCCTCGCTTGAACGACTCACAGTACGAGTCTGTTCGGAAGATGGGAGGCATCTTTGGACAAGATGTCCTTCGCAGCTTGGCGGCGGCGACGCCTGCCGAGCAACAAGAACGCGTGACCGCGTTTGAGACCTACGAGCGTGGTCTCATCGCTCACGTCCGCGGGAGCTTGGAGGCCACAATGGCCGCTCCCCAGGCAACCAGGCCTAAGCCGGTGTGGCTGAAGGTCCCCGCGTTTGAGGGGAAGGAAGGAGAGAACCTTCACTTCTGGGTCCGTGAGGTGGAGATCGCCATGAAGGCGGGTCTCATCTCGGACGAGCCAGTTCGGGTGGCGTTTGCCCTGTCCAACCTTGGTGGACGTGCCAAGCACTGGGCATACACCAGGGAGACGACATCTCCTGGATGCTTTGCATCCTGGGCTCAGCTGTGTGAGCAGCTTCGAGCCGCGTTTCTACCGGCGAACAACGAGTTCCGCCAGCGCTCACGCTTTCTCGCGTGTAAGCAAGGTAAACGTGAGCTGCAGGAGTACGCGCAAGAGATGCGCACGTTGGTGGCATCTCTGGCAGGGAATCCTCTGCCTGAAGACGTTAAGACAACAGTCTTCATGGACGGCCTGAAGGTCGGTCCTGCTCGCACCCAGCTATTCCGGGTGCAAGCAACAACTATGGAGGAGGCGATTCGAATCGCCCTCCAAGAAGAGTTCAGCCACAAGCAGGCTGGTACTCCTCGAGAAGAGGAACATCGCCACGATGAAAATGGCGTTCCTCGGGAGGCGGTGCATCGCAGCAATGACGCTGTTGCTCCTGCTGTCACGCAGCCCGTTGATACCGGTGCGTACAGCGAGCCCGAACCCATGGACTTAAGCTCAGCCGAGAGCTTGGTCCGCTGCTATGGATGCGGCGGACATGGACACTACCAGGGTGTGTGTCCCTCGCTCGTCCTCGGGAAGAAGACAGCCCGTGGACCCCAAGTCCGGTGGCGCAGGCCACGGCCAGGTGGACGAAGACGCCCCGGCCACCAGTAGAGGCGGTATGCCCTACTGAAGAGCGCTAAGACTTCGTGATGGGTGTGCAGGCTGTGCGCACCACGGGACTTAGCCCAGAGAGACGTGGTTCTCTCAAACCGGTGAAGGGCAGTGATGGGCTGCTGGTAGTACACTCGGTGTACGGGGGTACGGGACCCCTTGAACGTTTGATGAGTTCTGGGGCGTTGATACGCCGCCGGAACGTCGCTTGGCATAGCGACATCCGACTGCACTCTATGTCAGAGTGGCGGTCGTGGGCTGGTCCTTGGTGGACTAGCCTTTGGTACGGTGAAAGAAGTACCAATGGTCCTCAACGGACCTGAACGTTTCGGCTCGATGAACTCGCGCACCGCGGTGTCACTCGCAGTTCTCGCCATGAACAACATGGCTGTGCCGAACATAAGGCACAGCCCGGACTTTGGTGTGGCAAGGCTGAGAAGGGCCTACCAGTCCAGGTCTATGACGGAGCATTGGTGAGTCATGTTCCCACCTCCGTCATGACTGGGGCGTCTGATATAGACCGCCAGGACGCAGAAGCGTCACGGAGCTGTCAACGCGCCGACAGCTCTGCGTACAGCAAGACCATGCTACGCTGCGGCAATGCCACGGGCATGGGTCTTCTGCCCGGCGTGTGGACCTGCTACACCAGCAGCGTCCAACGCCGAAGGTCGTCGCGCCGTACGGGCTTCGACAGTGGTTATGCCTTTAAGCGCTAACCAGGTGGGTAACTTAGGACCACACGGTCGCCCAGACCTTAACTGAAGAGGAAGCCGCTGAATGCGCTTCCTGTGTGGGTAACACAGTACCACACGCAGTCGCCCAGACTATAACTGAAGAGGAAGGCATTGTCCATGTTTCCTGTGTGGGTAACACAGTGCCACACGAGGTCTCGAGTGCCTCAGATGTCGTCAACGAGACATCACGACGTGGGTAACGAAGTGCCACGTCACGTCAGCCGCCGCAAGTCGGGTCTGAACCTTGTTCAGGCCGACGTCGCTTCAAGTGACTCGGAGTCCAGGGCCCGGACTCCTCTGACTCGGTCGGTGGACACCAACTCTGTCCGGTGTGTGGGCGGGTCTGCCACACCAGCCGATCCCAACACCGAAGGTCGTCGCGCCGTATGCGCTTCGACAGTGGTGGTGCCTAAGGGCATTCACCAGGTGGGTAACATAGGTCCACACTGCGGGTAACAAGTTCCGCAAGCAGTGAAGCTGCTTAAGGAGACCGACATTCGGTGCTCCGAGCGTGGGTAACAAAGTTCCACGCAAGGTCACTCAGACCATAACTGATAAGGAAGTCGCTGTATGCGTGCTGCCAGTGGATATCACAAGCCACGAGAGACTCAATAGTCTCGAGTGTAAGTGGGGGAGAGGCTCGGAAATACCTTTTCTCTCTGGTCTTGAGGTAAGACCAAGTTCCTAACGGAACCAGGCGTCGATGTACATCGACTGCAGGCTGGAGACGAACAGCCGGGCTAGAGCTGCGGTAGCTCTAGCCGAACAAGACATAGTGGCGAAGAAAGCCACGGGCGCAAGGTGCCTCGGAAATCGCTGAGCGAATCAGCAGTGTTGGGGTTGCAAGCAACCCACACACGAGGCGAAGCGCGGGCCTAGTGCAATCAACGCACTGGTCCCTTGGTCATGAACGACCTGTCGAGTAGGGTGAACGGAGCGTCTCACCCGCCGACAAAGCGGTTGCGGTACGTGATGTACGCAACGCGCCGGGTATAATGGGCCGTGGAGCCATAACCCAAGTGTGGTGCACGAGTGCACACACAACTGACCAGGTGGTGGTCGAGGCAACGCACGCAGTCGTAACTGGTGCCGCGCCGAGCATGACACCGTGGTGATGTCTGCTTGCATCACCATGGGCTGGTACCCGTGAGTACTCGGTGTCAATGCCAGACACCAATGCCGCAGTGGCATAGTGGTGAGATGTGCCCCACCACGGTCGAGTACCATCAAGGTACATGGTGTCTGTGACAGACACTGGTATAGGTGCAAAGGATATGCACCATACCACGACCCGATGCGCTCTGGACGCTGTGAGTCAACGCCCGTACCGTGACCATCGGCACTGGCTGCTGTCGAGCAGCCTGCCAGGAGTTCCACGTAATGAACTCGTCGTGCATGACACACATGACGTGCACGGAGCACTTATGGTAGCTGTGGTACGTGTTGTACACAGCGTACCTCGTGTACGGGCCCATGGACCTGTACACTGTGCTTGCACATGCGTCGTGCATGATGCGAGCCCTGGCCATGAATCTGTTCAGGCGACAGCACAGCAGAAGCTGTTGACGCCAACCACGGCACCCTTGCATAGCCGTACCCCTCCAAAGTCTAGTACCGTCCGGTACATCGATTGTTGG